CATGCAGCAAGGAGAAGACACATGCTATAATTTAAGGGCAGTATTGGAAGCGTTTACTTTCATTATGTGGATAGCTGTAGGAGAACCCAAAGAATGTGCAATGCCCCAGGCCAATGAAGTTGAGTGTGTTAGAGTATGGTGGGTCCACAGAAGGGGCAAGTGGAAGTGGAGATGAGCAATGCAGAAAGGAAAAATATATTATAAAATAAAACCTTAGATGGACCTTGCATGGACCCATGAGGATCATCTGCTATGAACTAAGGGCTATGATTTACTCAACCTGCCCCCATTAGGTTCTACTGACACTCTATTTCTCTCTCAGGAGAGGGAGATAAAACAAAGCAAGATAAAAACAAACTAAAATAAGGGGAGAAAGTAATTATGCATTGTGGCATTTCCAAATTCTAACCAGTGCCTGAACTAGGTAATATCCAGTAACACAAAAAGGTTATAATTGGAATGATAAATAATTCAACATTTATTAAATATATATTATGTATTATGATCAACAACAGAGACTTCAGTCTTCAAGGAAATTTTCTAGAAGAGGAGAGAAGGAGAAAAACAAATATCCATAATATTACATCAAGGCTATAACATTACAGAAGTACTGAATCACTCAGGTAATAACTCTCGTGAGATTAATGAAATAAGCCTCAAGCCCATCTATATGACCTTATAAAAATATAGGCTTTAGTTTTCAAATTAGAACCACATATGCATTGGCCACTGTAAAATGCCTGTGGGAGTTTTTCCCTCAGGTCCTTCTTGTGCTTTTTAATTCAAGGTATTCCCAGTAATGATTTCCTGAAAGGTTCTTTTGGATGGAAGATTCACAGGAGAGTCAAAGACATTCCACATGTGTTTGCTGTTTTATAGCACAGGCACAGAAATTAAAATAAAAACAACACAGCCTGAAGGATCACTTGACATTCCAAAGAGATGTAAAATCTTATAAAAGTGAGCATCCTGATTACTATGTATGTATGTATGTGTGTGTGTATAATGTAATATATAATTTTTATATTTTAATTTATGCATATATACATAAATATGTATGTTTAAATTGGGAGGAAATATTTGGGATTTTTAACAATTCATTTTATATAAAAATTTGATCTTATTGAATCCCTATCTTTAAGTTTAAGTTCTTCTGGAATAAATTTTCTTGGTGATTATTTTTAAGAGAGGTCATTCAGGATATTTAAGATAAAATCTGGATAATTTGAGGGCAAATTCATAGTTTAAAGCTTTTATTTGTGACAATGTATTTAAGCAAAATTAATAAAGTATGAGTTTCCAAATCATATAGAAATTGTTTAGATACAGACTCCCCGTTAGTACTTTTGTAATCTTGGGTTCAAATTTCCTTATTTGCAAAACAGGTGTAATAGTACAATAATATACCTCATCAAGTCATAGTGTAGATGAAATGGTTGTTAAATGAAAAGCATTTACTAAAGTGCCTAGAATATATTATTACTTAGCATTTGGTATTTAAACATTTTAGTCTAATTGTATCACATAATTCAGCCCATAAATTTCAATTTAACATTTTTCTTTATTATGGATGTGATAAATAGTTTTAAAAAGCCAGAAGAATTAGGGCACCTGGGTGGCTCAGTCAGTTAAGGATCTCACTTTTGTTTTCGGTTCAAGTCAAACTCTCAGGGTCTTGAGATCAAGCCCCACGCAGGCTCTGCACTCAGTGTGGAGTCTGCTTGAGATTTTCTCTCTCTTCTCCCCCTGCCCCTTTGCCTGCCTGTGCTTGCTCTCTCTCTCTCTCCCCCTTTCTCTAAAATAAATAAATAAATGAATAAATATTTTTAAAAAGCCAGAAAAAGCATGTCAAATTGTCCTTGATGGATTTTTACACTATCCATATATTCTTGTGTCCTTAGTCATAATTCCCACTTCCAAATAAGCTAATGAAACTTTTTTCCTTCTAACCTGTAGTTAACATGTGTTTGCAAATAATTCATCATAGATTTTTCTCAAGTGATTTAAAACTTAAGGAGAGGTTCTTGAAAGAAATTCTTTAAATAAAAAAGTATGTAAAAAGGTGGACTCAAAAATCTTTACTCCTAAAACCCTGTGCATATATATATGGTGTGTGTGTGTGTATGTGTATGAGAGAGAGAGAGAGAGAGAGAGAAAGAGAGAAAAGAGAAGAGAAACAAGATTTTTTTTTTATGGATTAAATAATGACCACAAGGAAAATATTTGAATATGGGCCAGGGGATATTTATGCATGAAGCAGCATTCCCAGAGGATTCTATGGGCACTGCTTTGCAGAATGTTTTTTCTATATGGGCTTGTGTTTTCCCAACTGATGTTCAATCACTGTGAACTAAGCAGTACTGGACCAAATGTTGAGAGATGTTGAGTCTTAACCAGGATTTGAACTTGCTACATTTTTGTTCTACAATTTTATGAAAAGTTATCCATAAGTTCATATATATATCCTTTAACTGATCATATTATTCCACATAAACAAGGACTAGGTTTGGATATTCTCAATTTATACATAAACAAATACTTGGCTAAGCTTGATTGTGTTAATCCAGAACAAATTTATACTAACACCACTTTTTTTCTTTGCATTTAATGTATGTCTAACATGAGTTCTTCAACTATCCCATTGTGGCAGAATACAAAATCCACAGGTAAAAACAATTAACTGATGGACGTACTGATAACTATCTTCTTATACAACAACTTGTTCTTTTCCATTTCGGGGAGCACTCTTCTTCAGACTTTATCATATCAGAATCATAAGCCTCTATAAGGTATGTCCTTAAGTAAACTTTATTTATTTTGCCCTTGGAACAGGGCAGGCAGATCTAGTATTATTAGTTCCAATACCAGCTAAAGAAAGAGGATCAGGGAGAATGAATTGCTCAGTGCTAACAAGATAAAGGTAACAAGACATAGGAGCCTGGATGCTCACCTTCATGAACATTTGACTAGAAATCTGCCCACATCATACTGTTCCTCTGCTGGTACCATTAAAATAATTCATTGACATTAACAGTCTTTTAAGCAAATCATGATTTTGCTGTGGCGGACATTTGGTTATGCATAAAAGGTGATGGCTCAACATATTCACTCTCTTCTCCTAGGTCTACTGTGTCTAAGTGGCTGTGCTGCTTAACTGCATGGTTAAACATGCAGAACATTCTTTAATCACCTTGGGTTCTTCAATATGTAAACAGAAAACAAGGAGCTTTCCCCAGTGTTTCTTACATTTTAAACAGAAACTTCAAAATGTGTCTTTAAAATGATTAGGAAAAAGGGAAAGTTTTATATAATAATAAACCGCATTCTCATATTCAGATGCCCAGATTGTGTCCCCGTTCCCTTTTTCCTGCCTATGTTCTGAATCTTGACCAAACCTGTCAAAAAAAAAGAATCACTGAAACTATTATCAACTAATTATCAACTAATCTCTGCTATGATTAAGAGCCTTGATTTTGTCCTTATTTCAAGAATATATCTTTAGTTCTACTGGATATATGGAATGTATGTGTGTGATTGGGGCATTATATATAAATTCCAAAATGTCCATAAACTGATGAATGGATAAAGAAGATGTGGTATGTATATAGATTGTGGAATATTACTCATTAAAAAGAATGAAATCTTGCCATTTGTAACAATGTGGATGGAGCTAGAGTGTATTATGCTAAGTGAAATAAGTGAGCCAGAGAAAGACAAATACCATATGATCTCACTCATTTGTGGAATTTAAGAAACAAAACAGATGAACATAGGGAAAGGGAAAAAATAGAGAGAGGGAAGCAAACTATAAAAGACTTACCTACAGAGAAAAAAATGAGGGTTGATGAGGGAAGTTGGAGCGAGATGGGCTAGATGGGTAATTGGTATTAAGGAGGGCACTTGTGATGAATACTGAGTGTTATATGTTAAGTGACAAATCATTAGATTCTGTACCTGAAACCAATTCTACCATATATGTCAACTAACTAGAATTTAAATAAAAAAATGAAATAAAAAAGAAATATGACAACCACATACAACACACACAAATAAATTATATGTAAAATAGAGAAGGAATGAGACTTGTTTAAAGTTATAGAGGTAGGGGCGCCTGGATGGCTCAGTTGGTTAAGCGACTGCCTTCGGCTCAGGTCATGATCCTGGAGTCCTGGGATCGAGTCCCGCATCTGGCTCCCTGCTCAGCAGGGAGTCTGCTTCTCCCTCTGACCCTCCCCCCTCTCATGTGCTCTCTCTCTCTTTCTTTCTCTCAAATAAATAAATAAAAAAATAAATAAAGTTATAGAAGTAGTTAATGGCAGAGATGGAGTAAGACCCATATCTTTTAAGATGGTGGAAAACAGCTGGAAGTCCATTTGTTCAGTAAGTAATGTGGCATAAATGTGAAGAGAATGGAAATGGCATCTGATAAAGGTTCATATCTTAGGTTGCTACTTAACACCTTAAAGATTTGGTGGACTTAACTGAATCAATCTATCTTTCTGTTTCCCCATATGTAAAATAAGTATCAGAAAAGTAACCACTGGGTTGCTATGAATTAAATGCGTGTAAAGTGTTTGCAATAGTTTCAGATATAAAACATGTTTTCATTAAATAGAATTTGAAATATGATGCCCCTGATCTGCAAGGATTTAAAAGATTTAACAAAGTCTCTGTAACTTATATCATTTTTTTTAATTTATAAATATTCCAAAAATTAAAAAGTGCTATTGAAGATATCATATGTTCTATATCATTTCAGATAAATTAAGTTTCTGTTGTGTCTCTGGAATCACCTCAACCTCATGGAAAATCAGAACAATGTCACAGAATTTGTTTTCATGGGTCTGTGGGGAAATAAGCAAATGGAGCTACTGTTCTTTTTCTTGTTCCTGTTCTGTTATTTGGCAATCTTAATGGAAAACTTCATTATCTTACTCACAATCACCTGCAGCCATCTAATTGGACAACCAATGTACTATTTTCTCTGTCACCTTTCCTTCATGGACCTCTGCTACACCTCCACTGTGGTCCCCAGGTTAATCAGGGACTTAGGCGCAGCAAGAAAAAATATTTCATATAACAACTGTATGACCCAGCTCTTCACTGCCCACTTGCTGGCAGGTGTGGAGATATTCATCTTGGTGTCCATGGCTTTAGACCGCTATGTTGCCATTGTCAAGCCCCTGCACTACATGGTTATCATGAACCGGCAGAGGTGTAGCATGTTGATCTTCATGGCCTGGGGTGTGGGGTTTTGGCACTCTGTCGCTCTACTGCTGGTGGTACTCAATTTACCTTTCTGTGGTCCCAATCAAATAGATCACTACATATGTGATGTGAAGCCTCTTTTGAAACTGGTGTGCAAAGACATTCATGTTGTTAATATCTTAATGATTGCAAACTCAGGAATGGTGGTGGTTGCTGTCTTTCTTGTCCTGGTGGCTTCTTACATTCTCATATTATATAATCTTAGGACCTGCTCCTCTCTAGGGCGACGCAAAGCTCTCTCAACCTGCAGCTCTCATGTAATGGTGGTCATTTTATTCTTTGTGCCTTGTATCTATATTTATGTTCTACCTGCAGGGAGTGAGAACAAGGATAAGGAAATCTCTGTATTTTACACTGTGATTGCCCCCATGCTGAATCCTCTCATCTATACCCTGAGAAACATGGAGATGAGAATTGCCATGTGGAAGGTGTGGTCTAAAATGGCCCACTCAAAATTCAGGTAGGGGTGCCTGGGTGGCTCAGTTGGTTAAGCATCTGCCTATGGCTCAGGCCATGATCCCAGAATCCTGGGATCAAGCCCCACGCTTCTCCTGCCACTCCCCTTGCTTGTGCTCTCTCTTCTATCTCTCAATCAAATAAATAAATAAAATCCTAAAAAAACAAAATTCAGGTAAAAGTGATATTCATTTCACTTCTGACCCTGTGTTCCTAGAGTATTTATCATTTGAGATGTTATAGAAAACATATAGCTTTCTTTAGGGAGTTGGACTAAATGATCTCTAACATTATAAGAGTCAAAGAAGCAAGTCACTGTAGTTCAGATTACAATCTGCATGCTGAAGTTTCCAACTAGTTCTAGATGTGGTTGAATGGGTTTGAGGAATGCTAGAAATGTCTTTCTAAAACACATGCCTAATCATAGCACAGCCCTCTCCAAAAATGTATATGGAACCCTATTTTCCTTGGAATAAAATCCAAACTTCTCACTTGTTTATCAAAATTGGTTTTGGCTAAACTTGCTAATCTCAGAAGGCATTACATTGGTAGAAAGTATGGTGTTACAATGACAGGTTTTGGGGTCAGGGAGAGCTGGATGATTACTGACTCTGGTACATTTTTATCTTGGTGTCTTGGCAATTTGTTTTAGTTATATATGCATCCCCATTTTTGAATACCTGTGAAACGCATAATTTGTACATTATAAAGTTGCAATACTACTTTGGCTAACACATGTGAAGTTTTAGCCAGGACATATGGCTACTAGAAACATGTTTTATATTTTTCCTCTTTCCTTACCTTTCTTCATTTGTTTCCCTTTGTTTTGATGCTTTCAACCAGCTACACTGGACTCCTCTACATTTTCCAAACATACTCTAAAGTCTATCATCTTTATGACTGTTTCTTCTATCTTTTTTTGCTTATAATGTTGCCCCCATTATGTGTTAGTGTTCATGTCTTACATATTACATTCCTGATATTTTCTTAATCCAGAAGATTTTGCCAATTCATGGAAGACCAGAAGTATTTTTGATTTTCCCTGTTCTTTTGTTGCTATGAAACCATACATTTACTCCTTTTAAAATAATCCTGTGCCCTATATTAGTATTTTTTCTTATGTTTTTCCAGTTTGATTGAGTCAACTCAGTCAAAGATGTACTATATCTTTATTTTTTTATCTATTTTCTAACAATAAACCCATACAAATTAAGAAATAAACAATTAATGAATTAAATTCAAATCATCTATCTTCTCTTTTTATTGGACTTTATACTTTGTTCTCACATATCCAGAAATTTCCCTTATGCTATGAGCTATCACGAATCACAGACCTGTACCTCTGAAACAAATAATACATTATATGTTAAAAAAAAAAAAGAAGAAGAAGATAGTAGGAACGGAAAAATGAAAGGGGGGAAATCGGAGGGGAGATGAACCATGAGAAACTATGGACTCTGAGAAATAAACTGAGGGTTCTAGAGGGGAGGTGGTGGAGGGTGGGTTAGCCTGGGGATGGGTATTAAAGACGGCACATTCTGCATGGAGCACTGGGTGTTATACGCAAACAATGAATCATGGAACACTACATCAAAAACTAATGATGTAATGTATGGTGTTTAACATAACATAATAAAATTTAAAAAATATATGTAATGTAAGAAAGGTTAAAAATTCAACATACATCCCATGTAGCTATCAGAGATGGAATGAAAACTGACAGACTCTCAGCCACTTATTATGTCTTTTTACTTATTTTCTGCATTTAGAGGTGCTACTATTTTAATTTTCATTTATTCTTGTCTTTTGAATCACAAAATCCAGTCAGCTCTGTGTCTTGCTTCCCAGTTGTGTAGATATTTCTCTCTGCCAAAGCACTTGACTTTTCTCAGCAGAATGATTGCATTGTTTCCACACAGAGTGTTCTCGATTGAATTACTCCTGCCCCAGAGCCAAGAAGAAGCCCAGGAAAAACCATAAATGAGATAGTGTTTGACTTTAACATCAGGAAAGCTTCTTTTGATATTTCCACTCTTAACAACTTTTCACACATCTAATTACTTTTTTTTCTTCATGGATCCATGAAAACCTGTGGAAAATCAAGGGAAAACATTCTGCCTATTTTATAGACTATTAAGTCTGTCTAGTTATAGTTCGATTTGACCTGGTTTAACCTATTAATTTTCCAATGAATATTTGGATTATTTTTAAAATTATAGAATTGTAGTGTGTATACTTGTTCTCATGCATGTGTGATCATTTTGTCTGTGTGTGTGTGTGGTATGGGGGGTTTTGAGGGTCTTCAGGATGGGTCAAAGGAAATACTCAACCCATCAGAAAGAATGCTACACAACAAAACCAAAATCTTTTCTTATTTGTTTTCTTTTCTCAAGAATCTGTAAGATTTTATTGGCAAAAACTATGACTCTATTATAGAGCAAGCCCACAAAAAAATATATAGAACCTAGATTAGTTATCTACTTATAAGTTGTTCTTTCTAGAATTCACTCCCCAGCCTATAGAACAAACAATACCTAATATCTTCAAAAATACCTGAAATCTCAGTTTTATAAATAAGTTCACACAACCCATAAAACAAATGGTTTTAGAAGGGGATTAGAAAAGAAGGATAAATATAACAAAATCAATTCTCAGAAGAGCAAGCTAATATGAACTGAGACAAATGCAGGGATTGGGGTTATAAATGAGGTACTTGAACATATCTCTAAGGAGTATGCTGCTGTGTTTGTGTGTGTTATTGGTAGAGATATGACCAGCTATCTCCTTCTGTGTATTGACACAAGCTCTGAGTGAAGCTTGGTCAAAAGCATGCATTATGCTGAAATGGACAACCAGTAAAACACTGAGTTCTGATATCCATCATTCTGAAGTGCTAGAATCTCTTATTTCCTCAGGGTTACTACATTTTCAAAGCCTGGAAGCAGGTAGTAAACATACAAAAACCTGCTCCTTTCACTCATAGAAGGCACACAGTTCTTTTTCTTATTCTTATTTAGTAGCAAATCTTATTTGAGCAAATCTTTTTTAACTTCTAGAGGACTGTATTCTTATTGGAACAACAGAACTAACATTACCTAACTCACAATATGCACTATTGTGAGATGAAATGATATAATGAACTTAAAACACAAAACAATCTCTCGATAGATTATTTATTATTATTATCATTATTATTATTTTGTACCAGATAAGATCCCATAAAAATTGATCTCCTTAAGTTTAACATGTGTAAAGGAAATTTTTTATATATGGATTTGTGTATAATGGAAAATTGGTTCACTGAACATCAGTGTGTACATTTAGGGCTGAGCCAAATAATCTATAGAGATCAAGTTACATAGGACTAGGCCAAATGGTAAACAGAATAAAAGTTATGCTGGGAATTGAGTGCTGACTTTCCCTCATATTTTATTATATTCTCACTTAATGATATAACATTTTTACCCTAATATGTGTATAAAGAACAGATTGTTTATTCTTTTATCTTTCCTTTTCTTTTGTCCTCCATTCCCCAACCATCTATTTCATCACTGTTAGTCCCTGGCAATAAATAACCCAGGTTCCAGTCCTGATATGGCAGGTCATTGTTTATTGATCTATCTACTTTACCCATGAAGGTTACTCTAGATAATGATGCATATTGGACTGTACTGCAATGCAAGTGTTTGGTTCTGTTTGTCTTTCCCCATTTCAGAGTTTTCTGAAGCTAATGTAAAAGGACATTTCCAAAATGGAGCAAAAAAGCCTAATTAAGAGTCTTTTATTTTTTTTAAATAGGATCAGGAGGCCATAAGTGAGGAAGAATTTATGCATATCTTCATTGGAGAAATCATGAAGATTTTTTTTAAATTTTCAGAAAGCTGCAAGCCCTTGGCCTGGACTTAACTTCCTCCTAGCCATGATACTTGGAATCATCTGCATTTTTTACTTCTAAAGGAGCTCCAATCCTTCATTTGCCTATTAACCCAACCAATCCCAGTAACCCTAAATCCAATCTCTGTTTTGCATAGAGGACATGAAAGAGAATTACACTCACAGCCTTTCACCTATATGACTCTGCTTCTCTTTGTCTTCCTGGGAACACAATTTAGGTTTCTACCTGAATCTGTGTCTCCCAAATTGCAATTCTAATTGCGCAAATAAATGTATGTTTTTGTCTTCAGTGAATTCTTTTTTAGTCAGTACTACCCTAATATTATTCCATGCTATATTATTTTTCTTCAGAAAGCAAGATGAGCACAAGGCAGGCAGAGTTTCTGAATTGCTCTGCGTAGAGCATTATGGAGCCTCCAGAGAAACTGCTTGACACAAGCCAACACAAAGATAGGAAATAAATTTATATCCAGAAAATGCCCACAGGCACCAGGGTCAGTACCATGGAGAGCAACACAGTGAAGATCTGTTCAGAAATGCCTCTGGGAATATAATTTCTTAGAGTTTCAAAGACCTATTAATTCTTGTGTTGTCATATGTTATATTCTGCTCTTCTGAATCAACTTTCCCTCAGCGATAGGTATAAAATAAGT